GTGTTACTTTGACGTCACATGCAAGGGGTCTATTATCAGACTGCGTGTTACTTTGACGTCACATGCAATGGGTCTATTGCCAGACTGAGTGTTGCACTCGTTTTCCTCAGATGGATATAATCCAGATCGACCTGACCATCACCATCTACTGGTTTGTCTGTTGATGACTGCAAGTGACTTGTCAGATCAAACCAAACCGTGGGAAGGAACGAGGAAGATCGCGGTACGTATGATATTCTCGATAAACATCCTTAGACTTCTTCTTAGACAATGCTTTTTTCCTCTTCCAATAATATCGGTGAAATGGTTTAAAAAAATTAAGATGAAATATGCTTTATTGGGATGAAATAGAAAAGGATTAGTTAACATAGGAAACAGTCTTCTTAGTTCTCATTAACGTTGATATTATCTTCATCATTTTAGGATTTAATCTACACAGAATTTTTCACTCAAGGTGATTTGGTAGGTGTCTCGTATTCAATATTCCTCTTTACCTTGGATGTAATGTTTTCCTATTTCATTCCACGTGTCATTACCTAGAGTATCATTTTGTTGTTTAACGTTTATGCATGAGAAGACACATGAATATGGATACAACTCAAACAAAGAATTAAATTCTCAAGAAAATGACACGTCTGAAATGGGAAAACATTTCTCCCAAGGTAAAGAGATGTAATGTTTATTCTTCCCAGTACGATCATTCTACTAACCATTGGATGTTGCTTTTACAGGAAAAAGTGATGGGTTACACCCCAAGTGAAATGATGGATCGTGAGAGAGCATGTATTCCTAAGCTACAGATCGACTTCCTTGAATCCATTGCTCTGCCCGTCTATTCGTAAGTACCACTTGCTTTGTTATTACAACAACAGCCTTCAGATTTCTTGGCGTTTGATTGGATTATTGGCTCACGCGAGTAAAAACTGCTGTCTTCGTTGTATAAGTATGTTAAATACGTTTTAGTAAAATTCCATTGTGAACTCTCATTAACAGTATACAGCGGTTTTCTTATGAGAGGGAAACGTGCGGCACTGACTTACAGCATACACGCTTCACGACATGCTGTAACATTGCTGCACCATAAAATGATTATCGTATAAGTGGGAAACGTACGGTAGTGACTTATGGCGCGGACACACGGTGCAACGTTGCGTGCAACAAATTGCGTCGTGTGTCATAGCTCGCAACATCAATTGCATGCAACATTGCGCGCGATGTTGTGTCCGTAGAATAGCATCAGAATAGCTTTCTATTTTCTTCCRGTAATTCATCCAATCATAACGTGTAGTTACAGGGCTCGAAATAGAAAACTTTTCTAGCCTGCCATAGTAAAGGGGCATGGTAAAAGGAGGTCATTCCAGTAAACTTTGCCTGCCATTTTATTATTCATTTGGCAGCACATCGTTATTTTCACCTACCAAACCCGAAATTTGGCCTGTCATTTGGCCATTGCCAGGCCGCTATTTCGAGCCCTGTAGTTACGGCTTCAGCATAATACCGTAGGGCTTCTTATTTGCCGTATCGTTTCTCACGCAAAAAAAAACTGCAATACAGTTTTGCAGTGAAACAGTTGTTTCCACACTCAGGCTGAACATTTTTCGTCGCCATCTACCTTCACTTAAAACTTAACATTTAAAATCCGGTGTCATTAACTTTCAGAGCACTTCAAGACATAATCCCAGAAACCTCAGTAGTCTACAGCACCGTCTTGTCAAACCGTGACCACTGGAACATTGTTCAAGAGGAAAATGAACAAAAAGAACGTGAAAGACTGGCTAAAAGCTCCGAATAACCAATAAATATCCTGACAAATATCCTTCAACAATTCTGATGGTACATGTCAAACGTGATTGTCTGCACAACTATACTGTAAAGGATCTACACGTAAAAGTTATCATAACAATGGATTCCGAATATTTATACTTAGTTGGACACAATTATTGGTATACACTCAATTGAAGAATCGTTGTCGGGTTCAGAAACATAGAACATAGAAGCTGAGACCGAAATGGCACATGGGAAGTACGTTAATTAGATACATGCTGTGACCGGCGACCCGTGGCATCATCCACTGTTTTTAATACGCGTTTGGCATTCTACACCGACTGCATAGATGGCGCAAATGAATAAATTATGATATAATTATGTCATTTCCCATGTTCTATTTTGGTCTCAGCTTTTATGTTCTACGTTTCTGAACCCGACAACGATTCTTCAATTGATTGTCTATTGAATGGCCTTATCTAAAGTGGCTACTGCCGTACACCAAACAATACAAACGCTGCTGCTAGGATATTAGGTGACTTACGCAGGGTTTGAATTGATTTACTCTAAGTCTAAGTAAGTCAGGAGAAGTCGATTATCTTTACAAAATAATGAAATGGGAGAGAATTCCTTGAGACCTGCATAGAGAGAGTTATCGTATTTTTTTGAAAACAAAATCGTCTCGATATATTAACAAGCCAAAAGTCATTGAAAATAACATTCCCAAGAGTATGGCATTTTTTGATGTGATTATCATGGTGTTCTTATTTGGTGCCGAATTTGCCATTTATTCTATATTCATAGATTATTTATATATTTTTCAAGTTTGGCTAGGTTTATTTAAGTGGTCAGTAACGGTTTTAATCTTGTGAAAGTTTTGGGTGCGAGTTTTTATTGCATCTTGGGTGAGTGCATCAAGAGCCCCTAGGTATCGTCTTCTGTTAAGCACTTCGATGAATTGCGCATTCCATCGTTTTATTGCGCACTTTCATCATGGCATTGCACGTGACTGTATTGCACGCTTTCATCATGGCATTGTGCATGGCTTTATTTCACGCTTTCAACATATTGCGCATGATAGTATTGCGCACTTAAATCATTGCATTGCGCATGCATGTATTGAGCGGATTGCGCATTGCCATGAGATGATGGCATTATGCACTTCCCACAGTCCATTGCATTCTTGCATTATTCAATCACGGGACTGCGCATTGTCAATGGAGTGCGTATCTCCATTAGGGCATTGTGTACTTTTAGTCACTTTTCCAAAATATAGTTACGTGCTATAATTTCAATGCACAATTTTATGATGAAGTTGCATACACATTTGGTGACATTTTGCATTCCAGTGAAATTATCGCAGTTTTTTTTTACATGCATTAAAGTTTTTAGCCAACCGTTGCTAATTCTCGCTCTTTTGTCCCTGTTAGCACTGTTAGCAATCTAAGGTCTTTGAGGTCACATTATGTTATTTTCGTTACAATATTCGTTGTAGCTAACTACTCAATCTTTTATTTAATTGCAAATGTACAAATTGATATCATAATATCATGGATTATATTCAACACTTTATTTTATATTCACGGTGTAAAAAAAAATCAGTTTATCATGAACAGAGCTATAATGTAATTCTGATGGAAATACCTTACAAAATGCATATTATATTATTTATGGCACACCAAAATAAAGTATTTGATTGAAAACTAGTTTGATATTTGATTGATGGTAGTTGGGTAAACTGGGGGATTTTCCCAGGGTAACTAGAATGATATCCACCAAGAGAAGAAGTAGAGCTTTTTTATTAAATTGATGACAGAATTCGTCCTGTACCTTGGAGAAAGATTACCCTGGGAGCAGAGGTTGTTTTCTTCCCGTCCTTAGAAAAAGACCTGCGAGTCTCCGTAGAAAACGACTTCTGCAAGTGCTTTTATTTGTTTATTTCTGATTCGAGTCGATGCGCGCAATGCGCAAAGATGACGATGAAATTTCGTACTAGGATTGAGCGCGTAAAACAAACTCAATTGTGGAAAGTTGGTCTAATAAGCCTGAAGCGAGATGACGTTTTACCCCCGTCTCTAGACCATAATCCTTTTCACACTGCTTTTGTTCTTTAATTATGACTATTGTTCCTGTATTCTCTAAGGAATCAAAAATTTGAATATGAAAGAATTTTTTTAAAAATTATTATGGTATAGAGTCGGGGGTAAAACGTCATCTCGCTTCAGGCTTATTCTGTACAATGTAGAAAAAAAGATCGGAGTGATCTTAGCGTGACGACACTAATAAGAACTGCTGCGGGGGAGACTAAGATTGGACAGACACCCAAAGATCAAAGTGAGCCCGCGATGTAACACGAACCGCTGCCCTTAGCCTCCATGTTGGATTTGTTTGTCAAGGGCTGTCTTGTTTTCTACGTCCTTTGATCGTCAGAATGAATTGCTTTAAGAGATTGCATCAAAATTGAGCAGCATTGATATGGATGGACACGATAAAGAGCCTTTCAATGCACAAGCGAGTGAGTTCTCTGTGATATTGATTGTATATTTTGCAGATTCAGAGTGACGAGACTTGGTTTGTGTATTGGTTTATGTTTTTTACTATTTTCGTGTTGTTGTAGTCAGTGCTGGCGTCTTCTGTGATTTCCTGGAGGTGGCTTTCCATTTGATTCTTTACGTGAGAGAGGTTTACCCAGCTGTGGTGTTTGAAAGAAGAAAGAAATACAACGTCCCAGTACAAGTAAGAAACGACTGAGGGGGAGAGGGGTTAGGAGCAACCTATCCATACTAAAGGGGAGAGGGGTTAGAAGCAGTCTATCCATACTGAGGGTGAGAGTGGTTAGAAGCAGTCTATCCATACTGAGTGGGAGAGGGGTTAGGAGCAGCCCATTCATTCTGAGGGGGAGAGGGGCTATGAGCAACCTATCCATACTTGGCAGGGGGTGGGAGGCTAGAAGCAACCCATCCATACTGAGGGGAAGAGGGGTTAGGAGCAGCCCAATCATACTGAGGGGAGAGGAATTAGGAGAAACTTAACCACACTGCCCATGTAGCAACCACCTTGGGGTAGTGGGGTTAGTCATGTTATGTCATGCACAGAATTGATACATACATACATACATACATAAACTTTATTTAACCTCGAATTTCAGAGTAGCTTACAAAGCTAATATCTTCCAACAGACTACGAGTAAGTGCATAAGGTCACTGTTGTTTTGTATTACTTAAAGATGTGCTGTCATCCTGATCTTAACCATTACATCCAAGATGTCCTGGTGACAATCAAACCCCTAATAGAAAAGGTGAATGCTATGAATAGTCATAAGTATATCACGTTTAGAATCTATTACTATCCATTTTGGTTAAAGTTTATGCTAGTTCACCTTTATTATCGGGCTGTCTGTTTTTACTTAGCCTTGTGGTTATTGCAGACAACCTGTACCTTCTTTTCATTTATCTGCCTTGGTATATATACTATAAATAACTGTGTTTTTATACTATTTAGATTTATTTATAAATTATCTATATTGTATATATATATTTTAAAAATGCTGTAAATCCTATAAGAGAGTGGTAC